GTGTGTTTGCCTTTTCTAGGAATTCAGTCAGATACCCTTAATGACTAGCAGTTATCCTGCCTACGTGCTAAATGACCGGTTCATGTCCATTTCTTCTTCTTGATTTCAAGTATTATATCGATAACCACAGTTTGTTTTCTTAACCCACTCCGCTCTCTTCTCGTCTCTGAAGGTTACACCTATCATATTCCTTTTCATCGTTCGCTGCGTCGTCCTCAATTTAAGCTGAACACACTTTTTAAGCCTCCAGGTTTCCGCTACGTAGGTAAGTACCGGCAGGATGCAGCTGTTATATAACTTCCTCCTGAGTGTCAGTGGTAGATTACCATTCATGACTCGAGAATGCTAGCCGAACGTGATCCACCCCATTTTTATTTTTCTAGCTATTTTAATCATGTTCGGGCTCCGCGGTTTCTACTTGTCATAAGTATATAGACATATTTCTTTACAACTTCTTGCGTCTCTCCATCTATCGTAAAGCGCTGTTTTATGCCGATGCTATTTCACATTACTTTAGTTTTATGTATAATAATTTTCAGACCTACTCTTCTGATTTCCGAGTTCAGTTTAGTAATCATGAGCTGTGATTCGTCCCCTGAGTTACTCATCAAGGCAGTGTGATCAGTCAATCTTAGGTTACTAAGATACTCTACATTAACTATTACCCGTAACTCTTCCTAATCTAGGGCCCTGAAAACCTCCTGTAAACATGCCGTGAATAGCATTGGAGAGATCGTGTCTCCCCGCCTTACACCCTTCTATATTTGGATTCTTTCGTTCTCCTCATGGAGAACTATAGTAGCTGTGGATCTGCTGTAGATTTCTTCCAGTGTGTTTACGTAGGGTTCTCCGATGCCCTGATTCCGTAGCACCTGCATAACTGCTGATGTCTCGACTGAGTCAAACGCCTTCTTGTAATCAATAAAAGCTATGTATAGGGGCTGGTTGTATTCAGCGCATTTATCTATCACCTGATTCACAGTACAGATATGGTATAATGTCGAGTAGCCCGTACGAAATTCCGATTGTTCCTTCTACCATTAACCTAAAAAATGTTCAGGACATTTCCGTTCTTTTTTAATGTAAAGCTATCTGCTACACCACGTGTATTTACAGGTGTTCAAATCTATTCGCTGTCGCAAAACCAGTAATATTGTACAGAAGGAATACAACGTATCATGACCCTCACTGCGTATACCATAGTAAATAGCGTAACAACGACGACGACGACAACAACAACAACAACAACAACAACAACAACAACAACAACAACAACAACAACAACAACAACAACAACAACAACAACAACAACAACAACAACAACAACAACAACAACAACAACAACAACAACAACAACAACAACAACAAAACAGAACAACAAACAACTATTACAAACTTGCTATCGCCACAAGACAACAAAAGAAGTTGCAAACTTTACATCGCCAAAAACGCCACAGCGAATAAAAGAATAGCAAATATACTGATCGAGTGTCAGTTCTCGGTCCGCTACACTGTAAACGCGGTAACGTTAAAGAGTTAGTTTCGCAGAAACTTAGGCGTCGGCGTCGTTGGTTGCGAGTGAAATATCGTGTTGCACATTACCAAGAAATCGACAAAGATGTGAATGAAATAAATAATAAAATTTTTCGAGTCTGAGTGAGGATCGAACCCAGGCAGTTAGAGAGGGTAAAGCAGCTGTTCCACAACACAGCCTGCTTAAAAATTCAGTTAGGAGCCCTCTCTCCTCTAAAACAGCCCCGCCGCGGTGGTCTATAGTGGCTAAGTTACTCAGCTGCTGACCGTCACGGGATCGAATCCCCGCTGCGGCGGCTGCATTTCTGATGGAGGTGAAAATGATGTAGGCCCGTGTGCTAAGATTCGGGTGCACGTTAAAGAACCTCAGGTGGTCGAAATTTCCGGAGTCCTCCACTACGGCGACTCTCATAATCATATGGTGGTGTTGGGACGTTAAACCCCACATATCAATCAATCTGTCCTCTATAACATTTTCTTGCACATAGTAGCACGCAGGCACCTTCATATGGACCGGCCGGTTTTTTTTATTCCATAAAAACCTTCCTCTCCCCCCCCCCCCCTTCTCTATCTCTGTGTATGATGAGCATTTGTGCGTGAGGTTGATTTGCAAAAGCGGAATGATTTAATTAGAGGTAGGTGTTAATTTGAAATTACACTATTCCAACACATGTGAAAAAATACACGTAAAAAGATAAATAAGCAGAGCGTAGCTCACTGAAGAGCATTGAAAGTGCCCGTGGATTTTGTTTTGCGAGAATCTCGCTCCACGTGTTGTTCAGGTAAGTTCTTTTTTTTTTTTTACTCAACGTGGTTGCTTTGGGGCTTTGATGTTCCGGATGTTCTGCCACTTTGTTACGCTCGCTAGCACGTTTTCATTTCCGGCAAAATGAATGCAAGGTGCGTGTTTCTCACACTGAACCGCGGCTGGGCATTGAAATGAAGTTACGGAGGAGAGCGCTTAGCTCGTTAGTAAGTCCCAAGAACAAAATACAGAATGCTGCAACAAAGCTTCAGCTTAGAGCTTCTTAGCATGGGTGACATTCTTGTTCTCGTATAATCATCGAGCAGGATAGGAGGAGAACGCCATCAACCTCTAATTAATTCAAGGCATCATTAGTGAAGAAGCATTTCAGTTAATACTTAGTTCTTTTTTGTTTCTTTGTGACTTGAAATTGTCTCTAAGTAGCCGTGTTACTCATACAGTCACAACTTTAATTTATTTTCGTGTGTTCTCTTCTTTGTGAGCTTGTCCAGGTGAGCATATAATGGTGGGTAGTACCGTTTCTTTTGCCGCTCGTTTCTGCATATCTCGCCTGTTTTAGCTTTGCTAAAATGTGCAGCTGGCTTAACGTCGCCAGTAGCGAGATAATGCGACGAAATTTCGATGAATGCCATAAGCCTCAAACTTCACTGAATACAGTGTTGAAAAAGCTCCGTCAAAATACTTGTTCAACGTTGCTAAAGCGTTCGAGGTCGCACATATTACTCAGACAGCTGCACTAATCACGCAGAAATGAAAATTCGACACGAGATGAGTGAATATAGACCACTCAAACCACTCTGGACTATAGACTGGTTATTCGCCGGGAAATACTTGGTGCATGCAAACCAAGTACCTTGCAAGAGCGGACACCATCGACGCCCAACATCCTTTTAAAAATGATTGATATTGCAGGAAAACCATTGACATAATTGTTTTGTGTCCACAGTGAAGGTCCAAATTCGTTTCGAGGTTCTAGCCTGAGAACGCGTATGGTTTTATGTGTAAACATTTCATATGTTCCCGATGCCTGCCCCTTCTGTTAATTTTGACGGTTACGTTACTACACTTTACGCATCGCATTATTGGTAATACATGGGTGCCCTTGGGACTGCGTTTTATATATACAGTGTCCTTGTGCCTGCGGCATTCATGGATGTGAAACCAACCGATAAATAAACGTGGACTAGAGAGATGAAAATTAATAGGGAGAAAGGGGGGAGTACTGCTCACACGCCACCTAATGCAGAGAAAAGGCGGTCGGTCACAACGGCCGCAGTTCGTTGAATAGCTGCAGTACGTCGCGAATTCCGAATCAGGCATAAACCTAAACAGTCCGGTTCACGAACGAATCCCTCAAGAAGAGTGGGTCCGTATAAATCGAGACTCTGATGATGAAGGCGATAATTTATCATCAAGTTGGTAACAATAGACTTCCTTCCCACAAACCACTCGTAAACACATGCCGGGCAATAGGTTTTACGGATAGAGAACAAAAGGAAGAAAAAGGAACTCTCAGGAGTTAGTCTCGGCTTATTGGGGCGGCTATGAATCGGTCCTTTCCATGCCCTGCCGCGCCAGCTGGCACGCCATTTATTGCGAATAATTTAAACTCTCGGTACTGCCCATTGTCATATACACTGAGCGAGGTTTTAAAATTGCAACATTGAAACGATGTATTTCATACGATATTACCCCCGATTGGTGCCATGAAAAAGATGAAGGAGCAGTAAATGCCGCAGCCATACCACCCATCACACGCCATACGCTCACTTCTCTAGATGAGCCGGCATAATCATCGATCTGTTGTGTCAGGAAATAAGCATGATTGGTTACCGGCACAGCAATCACGTCTTCCTCTGTTATCACAACAGCCACAATGGCAAAGCCTGTTGTATGGCTTACCACGAGCTGCTGCAGTCAGTTAGGGTCAGTAGAAAATTGCAAAAGGACATGGGAGCCACGGCAAATCTTGCGCGAGAAAACGTAAAGAGTAAGGGAAAGCAACACGACAAGGTGAGGAAATGCAGAGGGCCTCCAGGGAGCCATTACGCGCCTTGAAGAGGTAATGCGAGATTTTGCGAGAGCATGGCGGAAAACTAAGATATACGTAAAACACCGCGCCAGAGGTAATGCAATGCCCAATTTAGATGCGGCGGAAGTGTCTCGTATCAGCGAAAGTACCTCACTCGCTTTTTCCCTTTTTACTTGTTTTTTTCTCATGTCCTCAATGACATCATTATCTTATCAGGCACACAGAATTCGGGGTGCCCTAGAGATGAAACTCAGCAATTCTGTCGAGCACATTTTGCGAGATTTCGTAGAAGCCACCATGTAGTCGTGTTGTCCGAAATTAATGGGCTGTGTGGCATGAAAGTAGAGAGCTGCGTCCTGCATCGGTATATCGCTTTGTTTTTTTTTCCTTCTTTAGTGGGGCCAGCTGTATGATCTTACGTTTTAGCAGGGCTCTCCCGACGTCGACAGTGGGCGGCTGTGGAAATGCCATCTGGTGATCTTCAATGATCACCAGCTGTTGTGCCAGCGCAAGAACACTATTGCTATCGTTCTGCATGCGCATCCTAGATAACAAATATGCGCAGCCAGACATAAAATGTGTCATTGTGTGGTCGAAAATGTGACAGTCGAAAACTTGAAACCTGATTGAGGCAGCTTTTACATTATCCTGCGTTTCTCTGTCTTGCAGACGAGAGCGGCCCAAACGCACCCATTCACCTGAGCGTCCTCGAAGGGGAATCGACCTCACTTCCGTGCCCCATCGACACGGCGACCCGCGAACCAATCGCAGCCGTCTGGTATCACGTGGCCACCCGCGTGTACCAACAGTATGGCGGCTCGCCTTACACCACCAACGGCCACCTGCAAGCAAAGAGGGCGTACGCGATCGAAGCGCCAGATCAGTCGACCTCCACGGCGGCGGGAGGAACTACCGGCTTGGTGGACGGAACGCACTGGAAGCAGCCATTGTGGTCGGGAAGGGCGTTCTTCTCGTTGCTAAGCGACCCGCCTGCGTTGCGGCTCAACCGTTTGCAGCGCTCCGACAGCGGAAGCTACGTGTGCAACGTCACCTACCGCGACAACGTCACTTCCGCCGGCTTAGCGTTGACGGAGTCTCGCGTTGACCTCTTCGTAGCAGGTGAGTGCTCGTTGGGAGTGGACCAAGATTAATAGCGTTTTTCACTGGTCAATTCGGAGCAGTATCTTTTGCTGTTTTGTGGTGAATCAGTATTTCCCTGGTCGATCTAGAGTGGGTTGCGACCCTGCACTGGTCGTATCAGAGTAGATCCATTCATGCCTGATCACATGCACTTGCTCCGGTGTCAAGTTCCAGATTCGGGCGGAAGGCCAACGTCGCTTACACCATCCTGTGAGGAACCTCGGTCATCATTTACAGAGGTGACCACGGTTACTATGGAAACGCACAGAGAGATGTTATTGCACGTTAAAGAACACCAGCTGGTCGAATCATTCTGGAGCCCTTGAACACAGCGTTTGTAATAATCATATCATGGTATCGTCCCGTTAAACATCGGATTATTATGAAATGCTGAATAGTTCAACATGGCTAGTTTATTATCTCCGAGTGTGGTGGTTCTCCGTCGCGTTATAAGCGTAATTTTCTTGTGGTTCGTCTTCTTTCTTTTGTTACGTTTCATGTAGTTATTTCAGTGTTTCAGAAAAAAATCATCCAACAGCGACAGAGATCAAAACACTCTTCGTCAAATTTATTTTTAAATCACGCTTCGTTGGATGTCGCTAATGAAGCTGATGGCGTGAAAATTTCGACATAGAGGCACTATTGAACTAAACAGTCGTATCTAAGAAACCACATTCAATTAAACAGTGCACCTTTCTTAATCCGATATTCTCAAAAAACTGAAACGAATTAATAGACTCCTAAGTCTGAGCTGGCGATTGTATTGCATCGAGTTCTTTAAGGCCGCCAATTGGCGATTTTTCTTTTTACGTTCACGCATAAAGGTGCTTCTCATTTTTGCTGGGCATCGAAAACGTCCTATTCACTATTTGTTTCTGTATAAGAGAGACGTTCTGTATTCCTCTTACTGAGCTTAGCGATGGACTATAATATGCCCTGTGTCAATCGAGGCGTAATAAGACGCAATATGGAAACATAGCAAGTGAATTAGTATTGCGAGACACAGAAGTTGAGCATATACGAATGGCAAATGTTCTGAAGTAAGGCCTTGAACTTAGCTCAAGGTTCATTGCAACCATTTTGGGGTACGAAAGTTTTCTTTAACCACCATTGTTTATATACTTACGTGGTTGCAGCAGGCGCGCTTACGTTTGTTGTTGGAAATACATTAAGTTAAATTAAGAGCGATTTTATAGCTCATTGCGTGAAAAATTAATGTTAAAAGTTAGCTCCTCTCTTTTTTGCTGAAAGACATTTGCAAAAACCTGAGCCGAATATTGCATCATATGTGAGCTGGATTAGTTTATGCTTGTACAGTATAACGCTACGCTTGCACAATATGACGCAAGAAATATGCTATACAGTTGAAAAAACGAATGAACCATGCGGTCCTTGTTTCTGCTTAGTGCAAGTAAGCTTGGGGCGATTAACATTCTGCCTTTCATTGCTGCTCATGCATTGACTTATTCCGAAAAAGAGAGACAGAAAGAAAGTTAATTATCTTGCTTTCTGACCACGTGCTGACTTAAGCACTTTAACAGTGGCTTTCACAAAGTCACGCTCACTTCGTATTGAAACGACTGTCACCCCCTTCTGGGACAACTGTTGTAGCGAGGAGACATTACAGCGCATCTTCTGCGACTGTCGTCGCTACAATGCACAGAGAAAATTACTTGCAGCTGCGCTAGCTCACATAGATTGCAGACCAATGATGGCGGACACCATTCTAGAATGTCGTCCAGAGAAGTCATCGTGACTGAAGGCGATGAAAGCAGTTCTCAGCTTCTTCAAAGCAATGAACTTGGACCAGCAGTTTTGGAATAATAATGTTAGGATGACTGTGACGTGAACACTCTCTTCCTCTTTTCAGCTTTCTCTTATCCATGTTCCCAGTGTAGGGTAGCATACCAGTCGCACTCTACTGGTTAACCTATGCCTGCGTTTATTTTCCCTCCGGTCGCCATTCCACAGCCTAAGTTCATTTCGCTGTCTGAGAAGACGTCTGAGTGAATGGCAAAAAAAACAAACAAACAAAAAAAACAAACGCGGGCAGATACGATGCGCTGTGGAAATTTTTGTCTTATTTATCGTACAGCAGTGATAATCAGCAGTCATGGTAAGTTCTCAGCTTTAACGCGCACTTTAAATACACAGGTTAGCGGTAAATGCCGTAGTTCAATCAACAACGACTGCGTTTCATCTGATATCTCCTGTTCGAAGTGGTGATATAGTTTTAGCCGCACAGTGTATACACTCGCTCCCAGCTGCACAATCTTTGATGGTGCTTCCTGGTTCCTTTGCACGTAAGTAAAGCGAAATCACTGAGATCTGGTTAAAGTTTAATTCAATGAAGCAGCCTTTCCCAAACAAATGTTTCAAGAGCGATATCGAATAGCCGGAGCACTGCGTGATACACGGATTCGTTCATTGTCACGTAAGGGTGCAGTTGAAGGGACCAGGAAACGAGACAATATGAAGACTTGAAAGCTCAACCAAACTTTCTTCTTTAGTTTTTGCGATTAGCTTCACAAGTAAAGCAATGTCTTGATAGATGGCACAAAGTCAAACAACGTTATTGACGAGAGGTCCGGCCAGTCGAGACGAAACAGTAGTAGTAGTACGCACCTCGACGCACACGCAGATACTTGTATAGCGTGACTCCCTCTATATACGGCACGATTCCCGATCTAGGAGTGGGTTCGCTAGTCAGGGCTATAGTCGGGTCTCCTTAACTCATTCGGTTGCCGGCGCTCTTTCGTCGTAACTACAACAACGCAAGAACTACCTTCACCGGTCGAGAACTCTCGTCAACAATGACTTCTTTGTTTTTATGGAGGTTCAAGTTTCTACATAAACGAACATTGGAAGAAACAAGGGGAGCCTCTCACTACAGTCAATATTTCACCGAGCTAACTTGTCTAAGCTCACCGTGAACGCTTCCATCAGAGGCGATTTCCCAAAACAAGACCCACTTGCCGAAAAAAAAAAAAAACCCATCTCACTGAGTCAACATTTGGAGAAGTCTAGCGAACAGTTCGGCCAGAGAGGTCTCATTATTGAAAGGTATAGTTTTTTATAAGTTGCTCACCTTACGTTGCTCGTCCACCTCTAATGGACGCAGTTCTTTGTTGCCGCCGACGTGGCAACAGTCCCATGCTTGACGTCACAGGTGGTCAATAAGACCGGTATAGCCTTCGTCAAAAATTACAGCAGTGCTTTACCTCTTCGCAACCGTAACATCTTACTACCCCGAGATCTTGTGGCTGCCAAAAGCCCATCCTTTTTTACTTTGTTCTTCTGCTGAGCTTTCAGTTGTTTGTATTCTGCAGCCCATCGTCTCCTCATCTCACGTTTGCATCGGTGAGCGACCACACCAATAAGGACACTATAAACACCACCAAAAGGGACATCACCGAAAGAGACATCACCGAAAGGCACACGATCACACCAAAAGGGACACTATAAAGCGAAGTGATTTTTCTTGTATGGGTAAATAACTCTTTCAAGATACAAAAACACCACTCTCGCTGTGAAAATACGCTTAGTATGCGAGAAAACGCGTGAAAAAAAAAATGTGCGTGGCGGCACCACCTTGAGGTTTCCGCTCCATTCGCCGTGATGGCACACGTTTTGACGGTACATACTCGGACATGCGTAAACTATAACGGCTGAAAATGAAGTAAAGTGTCCTCTGAAGAGGCCATGCATTTAGCACACCAAGTTTGAGAACCTTTTGTGCAGCAAATGGTGCCAAAACACGATAAATACATTTCGAAATCCGGGATGTCATGCGCAGAGATCTGGGCTCGAAATTTAAAAAGTGAAACTTGGACGTTGATTTCTGCGCTACTAATAAATGTCTGATAATTAAATTTCTGTATTTAGTGTTCTCAGAAGCTAATACTGAATTAAAACCCAATTATATGTTTCTCTTTAATGTCCCTTTCAATGTAGTAGAGGCGATTGCGAACTCTGAGGTAATAAGGACTTCGAGGTAGTAACTTTGAGGTAGTTGGTTGATAACAACCTAATACACAATCGAATGCTGCACTCAGATAACAATACATATGCACACAGGCACGGAAGAGCGCACAAGGCGTCTACATGGCGCCCACACTAACAGCAACCCAGAGGACATGTATCCATAGCCTCATATTTTGGGATATCACACATTGAAGTAGGGAGCTAACCACAGCCATGGGCTCACATTTGATGCTTCGGCGCCAGTTTTTATAACTCACTGCTTACATAGGTGTGTGCCATGATGCATACATGTGTGTCACAACTACATAATCACACACCGCAGCCGGTAGAAGTATCGCTTACTAACAGTCGTTAGAGTATCGTTTACTAACATGTCACGTATGTATAGCCCTGACACGGTAAGCAGTAACGACAACGTTTACTACTTTGAAGGGGACAATGTTAGCGAGATGTCTTAAATGTGTCAAGTGGGCCATTATTAATGCTGTTGCTATTACCTTTTTACCAGCTTACATTCTTAACGGTGCACGTCAGAATGTCTCGCTATACGCGAATGGGAAAATGCACATCGAATATTTTTCTTTATCATTTCGTCACGAGAAAACCATCATCAAATCAATGTATTCCTTTGCGCCAATACACGCAGAACATTATTGTTGTTTCCAGTATCCTCTAGCTGTGAAATATTAAACAAATATTGCGTAAAAGAATATCAACGCAGTCATCATAATCATGACCCGGCGTTAAAACTGTTCAATTCATTCTGGCCTGCAGCGTAGTCAAACCATGACTTCTTATCTTTCACGACACCCTAATGAATTTAACGTGTTCAGGAGCGTTGATAGTTTTTCGGCTACTAAAACTGCTAATCGTTACGAGTCTTGTCTATAGCCGTACATATGAACTCTCAATAGAACTGCATCATACGCGCTGTGTTAGTCCCCTATCGGGGGCCAGTAACAGTACCTACAAATACAGCAGGGTTTGAAGCAATT